TCCAAACTGTTTATTGGATTTAGAAATTATTAGGCGTGAGCAATGTAATATATGAAGTGTATTAAATCGAGTAAGAACGGAAAAAGCGCCGAAAGTAGCATTAAGTCTATATGATGATGAACGTTGTATATTTGATAAAAATCCAGATACACTTCCGTGGGGTCGTTATGGAACTATTGAAACAACAAAGCTTAAAATCAGCAGTACGCTACAACGAAGAAAGAAGAAAATCATAGAAGTAGGGAAAATCCTCAAGATAATTTGTTAACAAGTAGTAGAGATGACTATAGAAAGCAATACCAAGAAAGTTGTAAGCTTCCTCAAACCTCCGATAGAAGTCGCTCAGAACAGAGTAGGAATAGTGGGGAGGAAGAAGGATAAGTTAGGAAAAGACTTAGGATAGAATAGCGATGGAGTGGGGGACAACGGTAGACATGGCGACTCAAGTCGAAGGAGTAGGGCAATGGAATCATACAAGAAGTTACTCAAGTAGAAATAAAACGAAAAGAGAGGGAAATGACGGTGGCTCGATTTCTCAGAAAGGAGATACTGGGTACAAAACGAAGAACACACCTCAGTCCATCGTAATTATTCAGCAGCAACTTGAAGCAGCAGCAGCAAGGATAGAATAGTGAGAGAGTGGGGAGTGAGCGAGCTATCAGACCGCTCACACCTCAGAACATTCAATTCCTGAAAAGCTTGAGACTAGAAGTCGTCGAAAATCGTGGAAGAAAATATTGTGCATATTAGTGTGTTGTATAAAACAACAACAACAACAACAACAACAACAACAACAACAATATGGAGGGAATTTTAGACATTCATTAAGCTGTCGCTTTCGATGAGTCTATAGCTCATTATGAAGTTCATGCGCATCAGCCTTATTCATTATCATATTTCAATAATAGCGATGAAATTCATTAGCAATTCAACATCAAGATTTATCTCTGCTTCCATCGCGCAGTATGGTTCATATTTGTGGTAGGTTGACCAAGCCGGACGGTACTACGCCAGTGGAAAACACTTTATTACTCAACAACGCCCTCTGTCATTTGTTCGAGGAAATACGATATGAAATAAATGCTATTGAAATTGATAAATTGAAAAATATAGGCTTAACAACTCTCATGAAAAATTGGCTTTCACTCAATCCACGTCAAAGCTCTATCGCTGAAAATGCCGGATGGAATGGTGATAACAATGAAGTTTTAATATGTAATGCTCTAGGTTTTTTTGATGTTACTATACCTCTTAGTATGTTGATGGGCTTTGCTGAAGATTATCGGAAAATTGTAGTCAATGTCAAGCATGAACTTATTCTCACAAGATCAAGAGATGATTTGAATGCTATTTTGTCTGCTCCAATAGGGAATCCTGCTGCTTCAGAAAAAACAAAAATTACTTTAACTAAGGTTGAATGGTTGATGCCATATGTGATGGTTGCAGACAAAGAAAAAATCAAATTACTTAATTAGATCGGACGACATCGTGCAATTACAATGAGTTATCGTACTTGGAATTGTATGAGTATCCAAAATTACCACGTACATCAAAGCATGATTGGAGTGTTAAGACTTCCAATCAATTGGAAAAGCCTCGCTTTGTTATTTTAGCTTTTCAAACTAAACGTAAAAGTTCGGCGAGTGTTAACTCTAGTAATTTTGATCATTGTAATATTAGTAATGTGAAGCTATTCCTCAATTCACAATGCTATCCGTATGGAAATCTCAATTTGAATATCAATCAAAATCGGTATGCTGTTCTCTACGATATGTATACTAATTTTCAAAACACTTATTATAGTAAAGAAAACGAGCCGTTACTCAATAAAAAAGATTTCATTAGTAAAGTGTCGTTAATAGTTATAGACTGCTCCAAACAAAATAAAACATTAAAAAGCGCCCCAGTCGATGTTCGCCTAGAATTTGAAACTCGAACCGATTTTCCTGAAGATACTGCAGCCTACTGCTTAATATTACACGATTGTATTGTTCAATATAATCCAATTAGTGGTGATGTTAAAAAATTAGTTTAAAATTAACAAGATATCAATTTACACGATACTTTTCAATAAAAAAAGAAAATAAAATGTATATATATTGTTAGAATTTAATACAAACTATCTATAATCATAGAGAGAGAGAAAGAGAGAGAGAGAGAGAGAGAAGCATCCACACTAAACGGTGTACGCACCTAGCAAGCTAGAGACGCTACCCCCTCTCCGAGGGCCCAAACTTAGCCAGCATAAGCTTACCATGCTCCCTACTATAGAAAGAGAATAAGAGAGACCATCATATAGCTTACTAAATACCCTACCAACTTCTACAGCATCCTACCTTACCAACATCTGTAGGTGAATGTTGGTGGGCGGAGTAAGTGAAGGGGGGGGGGGTACTTTGTCGGAGGGGCCACTGGTAGATCCTAAGTAAATCAATACATTATTGATTTTTTAATTTAGTTTATTTTATTACTCTTTTTTTATAAATTTTACAAAATTAAAATTACAGTTTTTTTTTTCTTTTTTAATATTAGTTTATTTATTTACAACTTATATGTTACATTTGGTTTACATTTCTTATTTTATTATTTGTGTCTCGTATCTAGTTTGTGTATTTGATTATGTATGTGTTTTGTGTGTGTATGTGTGTGCGTGAGTGCGCGCATGCGCGTGTGTGTGTTGTGTAAATATGTGCATTTGTAGTTGTGTCTGCAACTCTTGTGTCCCTGTCTTCTGCGCCTGTCTGTTCCTCTTTTCTTCTCATTTTTCTTCTGATTAATCTTCTCTTCCTTTTTTTCTCTCCAAGATCTGCCTTTTCCGCTCTTCTGTTTTTTTCTCTTTCTTGCATATTTTCCTTTCAGCTTTTCCTTTATTACTTTCTTTTGCCTTTCCTTTGCTTTTGCTCTCCTTCTTGCTAATCATTTCATCTATCATTCTCCTTATTAAGGCTTTGACACCTTTTTCTTGTTTCCTATTGCTCCCTCTGCCTTTCCTTTCCTCAACCTCACTTATTTTTCCTTGGTATCTTATGATTTGTCTTCTAGTTTACCTTTTTCTTTCTCTTCTTCGATTCTTCTTCTTTTCTATTTTACTCCATCCTCCAATACCTGCTTCCTTTCGCTTGTGTAGTTGCTATTACTTGTGTCTTGTGTGTGTGTGTGTGTGTGTGCATGTGTATGTTTATGTTTGCGCGTGTGTTCGTGTTTTGTGTGTATGTGTGTGTATGTATGTGTGTGTAGATGAGTCTGCGAGTCTTGCTTCTCTGTCTTCTGTTTCCGTCTCTCCTTAGGGTCTTGCAGCTTCGTCTTCTTGCTTTTCTTTTTCTTTCTTCTCTTCGTTTCTTCTTCTTTTTCATTTTATCTCCATCATCCACGCTATCTTTTCTTTGCTTCCTATTATTATTTTTTTCATTCTTGCCCTTCCTTTCTGCTTTCTTCACATTTTTCTACTTTGTTTTTATATTAATCGTACAGGAATCGGATCAGAAAATCCTAAAATTATTAGAGAGGTTAAAGAACACACGTTTTCCCCATCTGCATCCAATAAGATAATCGCACCGTAATTTTAAGCTTTGAGGACACACCTTATTCTTGCCCGAATCTGGGTAGGCATTCACATTTGCAATAGAGCGAAAAAATAATTTAAGGTTATGTTTTGATAACGACGTTTTCCTCACTGGAATCTGATCGAATTTTTCCTTTTTGGAATACGTATAACAAATCTTGTATTTTAACTGATGGATTAAATTTCTAAACGATAATCACGTAAGTACAACTTTATATTCATAATTCTGTAAATATCTACAAATAACATGTTTTTAACATATATAGAAATATACATATTAGGCTAGAAAATATGCAATATGCAAGAATCAAACTCAGACGATGTTAAACAAAAAAATAGGGATAGGAAACGACGGTACCGATTGATAAATAATGAGGTTAACATTCACATTACTCGTGCTAAAGTAGCTTTTAACTGTAAGTTATACGAAAATAATTAAAAAGTAGTCAATTGTAATTTAAATTTTGCACATAAAACGTTGATTTAATATCGTACACAGATGAACAAATTTTAAAAAAGGCTAGATGCGATAGACGACATCCAATCATTGACTCGACTTCAAAAAACTCCATTGATTCAGAAAATTTACTTAACGAACTGATTGAAAAGCAAAATAATGTAGATTCCTGCGATAAACAAAAAGATTTTGAACAAAAATTTGTTAACGAGGTAGAAAATTGCGAAGAAATTACTATCGACATTACAGAAAATGTTTTGATACCAAAAAAAAAAATTAACGAAGTACAAAAACTGAAAGAATGGGCAATCGAGCGAAACATAGATTATGTAGCACTGGATGAATTCTTATTAATATTGCGTGAAAGGTTAATTCCAGAATTACCCAAGACATCTAAAACATTTCTAAATTTAAATTTAAATTATGACATTAAAAAAATTGAAAATACTGACCGTGCAATGTCATACGTATATTTTGGGTTAGAAGGTAGTCTTTCAGATGTAATAAATCCAGAATTACATAAAAGTGGAATAATTTATCTACAATTTAATGTAGATGGTATGTCGTTATTCAAATCTAGTAATACGCAATTTTGGCCAATTTTAGTAAAAATATTTGATAATTTTGATACTTACCCGTGCAGAAATTCGTTAAAAAATCGGACTAGATTCTGATCCGATTTCCCCAGTACAGCCTAGAATCCGACAAGGAATCCCTGTTGGATTCGGGTTGGGAAACGTCCCACTTTTCACTAGGATTCGGACAGGGAAATCTAACTTGGATCGTATGAGAGAATCCTATATATATCCGACATTTTTTGAAAGAAAAAATACTAGAAAAAATGATATATTTAATATGGAAACAATATATTTTGTTATAAATTTGAGTTATGAACGAAATAATACTCGTATTATGAATATTTATTTGCTCATGACTGTTTATTACAAAATATATCGGTTGAACACAAAATATCTATCATTTCGATACAAATTATGGTAAATAATAAAAATGATATACTTTGTTATACTTTAGAAATATATTTAACTGCATTTTACAGTAAAAGTGATTTTTAGCACGCTAATCAATACTATCTTGAAGAGTCTCCTTTTTTGCTCGTCCACCCTAGTCTTTAGAGTTACTGAAAGCAGAGCTAAGAGAGCTGTTGAAAGTGGCTTCTGTTATAAGGTCTCCACGCGTGTCATGATGATTGCTTAGAATGACCACTAGAAAAAATAATACAAGATATTAATTGATGAGTATAAGTTACTGTATAAATAAAATTTATATCCTTACTCTTTAATAACTTGAAACAGATTGAGTCTTTGAAAACAAATTCTCGATCTAACATTTTTTTGAAAGCAGTAAATTGAAGGATTAATTTTTTTTCAAAAATTTTCTTTAAAATATTTGAACAGCTTTTGATTGGATTATTTCCAACTATATCAAGTTGTTGTTTTATATAAAATGACTGAAACAAACAAATTATAAATTTTAAATACAATTTTATACAATACATGGATAAATAGAAACTAAAATACAATAACAATTTTTGTCACTCACAAAATAATCTTGTAGAGAAGTGTCCTCTAGAATGTCACAAAATGTAAGCCAATCATCTGCTGTCGCTAAAGGTAACTTTAAATTATTTTGTTGCAAAGTTTCGTTTAACCTTTGAATATGTGAATCCAGCATCTTATTTTTCAATTCTGTTACATCACTTTGTAACTTTAAAACCAAGATTTTCAGTCCAGATATAGATTTCAGTATAACATTGGTTTCTGAAAGAAACATTTTATTAAAAATTGTAAAGTAAAACAAACCTTGTATATTATTATGTATTCAAGTTTACCTGAAGTAACTTGCAAAGTTGGTAAATCAAAAGTAGATGAAGAATTTCTTTGAGTAGTTCTGTAAGTTCTATTAGTCACTGCCTCGATAGTATTCAAAGCTTTCTCAGTATGCTCTATAAAGAATTCAATAGTAAGACATTATTTAATTGTTCGAAGCAATTACTCAAAATAACTTACTTATCAATTCATCTCCACTGAGATTGTCCAAACCATCTGTCGGAGACGTAGTTAAATCTATTGGAGGAGTGGAAATTGTTGGTTTTGGTGTCATAACCTGTGCTGTAGGTTTAGAAATTGTTGGTGTCGGTGTAACACTCTTTGCTTTAGATTGTACATGCTTGTTAATTCCTTTTTTTTTCACAACAACTTCTCTCTTTTTAGTAGAATTCTTTCGGAATGATAAAGTTTTATAATTGATTAGTAGAATGTATAACCTATTTATAAATTGATTCAGACAGTTTATATATTACCTTCCTTCCTTTGCGAACATTAGATTCTTCATCGTTACTTATTACAGATAAGCTAGCAGAGTCTTCAACCGAAGGAGTTGAAGTTGAACTACCATCACTCTCTTGTGCCAGAATATCCTCTATATTCTCATTCTTAAAGGCATTAGTTTCATCGTCAGCTTTTGATTGCTGATTTTCCATGTCAGTTATGAATCCATAGGCATCGCTTCTCATTTGTTTCAAACGAGATTCAGTCTTTTCATAATCATCTTAAAAAGAAAATTTTTAAATTAATATATTGCAAAAGCTAGACTTGGAGATACTTGATAATTGATAACTTACTTGCTCCTCCTTTCAACTTCACTTCCCATAGTTTCCATTTCTTATCAGGTTGTTTATTCAATCTAACAGACTCTTGAAATTTACTACAGACTTTCTGTGTATATGGAGGATCGGGGTAAGGGGCCATAAGTTTCTTGTTCACATGATAAAACTTGATCCAGTCTCTTGATAGTATATCCATATCGTTGCTTCCTTCTTCATTGTAACAGCCAACGAATTCACATATATAAAACTTATAGGAAGCAGTTGGACCTTTCATTCTATTATTTCCCTTATCTAAAAATATATATTATAATTATTAAACCATGCTACAATTGCATAATCATATCAATCATTACAATAAGAGTAATACGACAAAATTAAAACAAGTTTTCATTATTTAGTTGGAATATGTTAAAAGAAGCATGGCAGCAAGATATATATATGGTATATGATGAAATTACGTAAGATATACTATACCTTTGGAGAAAAAAACCGTGGTGTATTCTATACAGGCGAGTGAATGTTTAATCAATCGCTAACAGTCTAACTTCTTTTGGCACGTGTGCTTGGGCGCGAACTCTTATACAATCACATGGCGAAGCAGGTTAAAACGCGCCCAATTTTGTACATTCCATTGGGTAGAAGAGAGAGCGAGTGAAACAGGGGAATAGCTTTGTAAAACCAATGTTGCCGTTTTCAAGAATAACGCAGTGTTGCCAACTTTTCTATTTGAAATTTAATAAATTTCATTGGTTTCCTATAAAGTAAAACGAGGGTTAATCGAGAATTGGAAAAGTAAATTTGAAATTAGGACTTTATTAAAATAATTACATTTAGATATTATTCAGTATTCCATCGCAGTAACAATATTTATATAATATTACAAATATAAATATATTTTTGTAGTGTTTATTAATTGAATTAAATGTTAACAAATAATATGTTAACAAACAATAATTAACAAATAGATTTGATTAATAAAATATATAACATATTTAAAGAACATTTTTTTTTCTTAATGTAAAAATGGTAAAACATAAATTTTTTTCTTTTACTTGCAGATGTGTTGAGTGATAGGTATACAAGTTTAGATTGTATTCTCTTAGCAGAAGTTAATAATTTCCTTTTGGATGTTGATACTTGATAACAACCCAATTTAGTTGAATGCATTGGATACGTAAAAATAGGTCTCATTTTTTTAAGTATCGTACTAGATATTTTAATTTTTGTTTGTTCGCTGCATAAATAATACATCTTATTAACTTTTAAAATTTTACCAGTTTTAGTTAGGATATAGTTATTTGGATGCTTATCAGTAATTGTGTAGAGATTGCTTATTTTTAGTTGTTTAATATAAACGCAATTTTCTATTTCAATGCTTTTCAAAATAGTAAATTTGGCGGGAACAATTGGCTTATTATGAAAATTATTTTTCACTTGTAGTCGTCTACAGACTTGGGCAAGAGGTTTGTTTGAAGTACGAACATATTTACGCAATTTTCCTAAAGCGTTTTCAAATGGAAAAGCATTGATTTGACTTAAGTTGCAGTCCATATTTACTGCATCGTCAGCAACATGTTGCATCCCTGTTGAAAAAATCCAGCTGGAAATCCAGGCTGGATTTCCAACTGGATTTCCATCTGAAAATCCTGCTGGATCCACCTGGATTCCAGCTGGATTCCAGGTGGATATCCATGCTGGATTTCCAGCTGGATTCCAGGTGGATATCCATGCTGGATTTCCAGATGGATATCTATGCTGGATTTCCAGGTGGATTCCAGGTGGAGTTCCAGGCGGATATCGAGGTGGATTTCCAGGCGGATTGTCAGGTGGATTTCCAGGTGGATTTCCAGTTGGATTTCTAGGTGGATTTCCAGGTGGATTTCCAGGTTGAAATCTGGGTCGATTGCAAATGGATTTCCAGGTGGATTTTCATGTGGATTTCTAGGCGGATTGTTAGGTGGATTTCCAGGTTGAAATCTGAGTTCTCAAAGAAATATATCCAGACCATTGCCAGATCACTAAATTTATCATAAAATTAAAAATTACGAAGTCAATGAATTCAGTATTTATATCCAATACATATTGGGTACACATGATATATAATTACAATGATCAATATTTAAATAAACGCAAATTTTATCGATATTTTTTGTTTCTGTGATATCAATATCAGAGTTGATTTCCATAACTTGTTTGATGCAATGTAATTCATCACTTGCTAAATAATTATCGATTACCATAATCTTTTTGTATGTTGTATATTCTTTTCCATCGTCCATGTTCACAAGAAATTGTTGTATTTGTATGTAATTTCCATTTTTTAACATTGCAAATGAGTTATCTGATCGATATAATATTTTTTCACATGACTTATACGCACATTCATCTTTAACTATTTTTTTATATGCTCTGACTTTTTCTGGACAAAGTTGAAACTTAGAAATATATTTTTTAGGAACAGTTCTTCCAAAATATCTGTAAGTAAACTTGACAGTTTTCTCAATGAAACCATGTTCTAAATATCTAATATATTCTAGCAACGGCGAATCTTTTTTCACTTCAACATGTTTTTGTAATGTTATCATATTTAATTCTAACGACAAGTAACGACATACTTGTCTCAAAACACCTTTGGCAGCATAGATAGTTTGTTTTATTTTTCCATTACCTGATTCAAACACATAACCACTATGTGCATATAATGGACCCCAGTCAGCAACGTTCTGTGTTAAGTGCAATAATTGGTGAACATTGTACGTCATAGCATCATCTGTGTATAGATGTTCTGTATAACAAACAAACTTTTTCAAAAGAAAATCAGCTCTTCGTAATTCGTTTTGAGATATTTTGGTTTTTAATAAAGTATGATATGCTTATATTAACAAAGACCAATGAATCATGAACTCTTCGAATTTAGGAGTTTCTCGTGATATATATTGTAATATTGGTAGGCTATAATATAGTATCCAATTGGACCACTCTTTTGCTTTCTAATATGCTCTATCACTTAACGGCCGTGACAATCGTTCCAATTGTGTCGGTATTTTGACGTTTTTTATGTATTGGTCAATGGTCTTGTGTATGTTCTTCGTAATTGAATATGACTCATTGGTTGAAGTGAACCAATAGTTGCAAAATTGTTTTCCTATACCGAGATCAACGCAATGCATTGGGCAAGGCACAAATCCATCTATTATATCAAATTTGTTCAGAAGCAACAATGGAGATACACTTTTAATACCAAAAACGGGACCTTTCGATTTTACAGCTCTTTGCATTAACTCAAAAGTATCATCTGCTGTTCGTTTTCCAGGATGTTCGTCTAAAATAGGATATTTCACAGAATGACCAGTACCATGACGAACTCGTACACCTGGATGTAAGCACCAATTACAACCGTAATATCCGTTAAACTGGACGGTGCCTTGCATAGGCGCGCGAGCTACAGAATCTACACAACAGCAGAGTGCAAATTTCTTTTTTCATTTTGTACCTGACATCTTATTCCTTTCTTTGAAAGTTCATTGATATATTCCACAAAAGGTCGCATGAAATACGTCATGTTTGGTTTATCACGACCAAACCATAGTGCACAAGTAATTGTTTTTTGCAAGCGAATATTTAGTGGAATTTCATTCACAACTATTTGTATAGGCCAAATAGAATATTTGGAATTTTTGAAAGTTGGACTTCCATCACTGTTGAACGTCACTGTTACATAAGACTCTTTTTGATCAACCGGTAATGATTCAACAAATTTTTTATATTTGTGACCGTCGTGAATATCTTCGAAAACAACATCAGGTTGTTTATTTCTCCGAGAAACAATATCACAATAGAAATCATCATTTGTTTCGATCAATCTTTGTATTTCGCCTAATATATTGAACATGGTAAAATAATCGCTATAAGAAGGATCTTTCAAGTTTACCTCATTTTCACATGCTTCACAAAGTATCATTTTCTGTCTTTTAGCAAAGATTCCGATGTAAGATTTACAAACCGGACATATAGAGTGATACTCCTGATCTCCTTCTGGATTAAATAGTTTATCAAATTGATAGCGATTTGCTGGAAACATCTCTTTATTAAAAAACATATTAAGCATTTTGAACATATCTATGATTGCTATTGTTGGAATGTGATATTTTGTACAATATTTTAAAACAGCCAATATCATTTCTATTCTACTGACATTTATCTGTACTTTTGGATCAGGTTCGTTGTAGTCGTCACTGTTCATAATTTCATGTAATTTTTCGAATCTGTTTTCAAAGACTTCATTTTCGTCAATTGATAAATCATGGAAATTTTCTTCGTCGATACTTTCCTCAAAAAAATTTTCATTATATTGTGATGACGGATGTTCCTAAGAAAAATAAATTAACTAACATTATTTATCAATTAGAAGATTGAAAATTCCACGAAATCTCGTTTAGTTCATTCTCATTTGAAATTTAATTTTTTAATTGTATAGGCATAGGTTCCACGTAGAAATCCAGCTGGATATCCACGTTGATACGGCTGGAATCCAAGTGGATTTTTATGGATTTCTATATGGAATCCAGGTGGGTATTATCGTTTGTTCCATAAATGCGTTCGAGACGAATTACCGGTTTATTTCCGTGTGCATCTTTTTCGACAAATCCAGATGGATTTCATACGTTTTTTGTATTGAAAATTTTTGTATAACTGGTCTTTTATGCAAGATTATTATCTTCAATAACTAACTGTTCTACCAATTAAAAAAAATTTTAATATAAAAATAATAAGCAGCAAAACAAACAATAAGATACTGAAAATAATTATTTAACATAAGAGACGGTTTTATCAACATTTTTAGTCTTAGTCCAGTCATTCTGGCACCAAAAAGGGCCTGAAAAAACAATAATTGTGAGAAGCAATTTTATTGCATGCAAACTTTGGTCAGGTGCTGTTAAGTAGGAATAAACTTCATCCGGCGAAAACAAATGGCTGCGTCATTAACAAATTAGCGAAAAAACAGGTCAAAAATACGTTTTTTCGCTTTTTAACCAAGTAATTTTTTATCTAGGTCTACTTAACTCTAACCCGTTTTGGGCATTAAAATTACCTATAATTTTAATTGTCGCACGAAAAAATCGAACTAGAATTTATTCAGTTATCGCATAAAAACCATAAAAATTACATTAACAATTTGCAGAAATTTACTTTTCAACACCATGGAATCTATGTATTTTTTATTGAACAAAGTTACATATCAATTTGAATAAATTTAAATATTTAAAACTGCGCTTGTAAGCGTAATTGTTAAACTGCGCTTGTAAGCGTAATTGTTAACTAAAAAACTTTTTTTGCATATTAATTAATCAAATTTTGCGATTTGCGCTGTCGGTTAGTTATCAGCAAGGGCTCGTTCCATTCGTCGGAAGTTCCATTTTAACTTAGACTAACTTCCGTGATAATTTTTTTATCTTAAATTGTTCATAAATAGCTTTGAAGTAGCTACTCTGGATTTCTTACTTAACTAATGGAATATTTTTAATTGCAAACTTGATTTTTAAAAATAATTGATGTCATCTTAATATTTGAATTTTTCACGAATTTTCAAAAAAAAAAAAAATGAACTTGCTAAGTGCAATAGGAACGAAGATAGGATTTTTTTTTACAAAATTCCCACGCCTTTAATCATTAACT